TGGGGCGGGGCTTTCCTGGGGCGGGGCTTGTTCTGGGCGGGGCTTGCCTCGATTAGGGCTTTCCCGGGGCGGGGCTTGTTCTGGGCGGGGCTTGCCTCGATTAGGGCTTTCCTTGGGCGGAGCTTCTCTGGGCGTGGCTTGTTCTGGGAGGGACTTTCTCTGGGTAGCGCTAGTTCGGGGTTGGGATTGTTCTAGGTGGGATTTTTCTCTGAGCCGCGCTTGCTTTGGGAGGGGCTGTGAACCCCTGACCTTGCCTGGGCACTTCCTTAAACCTTTCTCCTTAAGTCCTCCCACAGTGCCCAGGGTTGGACGGTCAGTGTGGACCAGTGACGCGTGACTCCGAGCCTCGAGCCTCGGGTTAATCAAAGTAAAACAGGGGTGGGAGGTGACAGTGGGATATTAGCCCCTGCTTGTGCACCTGTGTGCATGCGGGAGTGGAGGTGCTTTCCACCTTCTAACCCGTAGGACCCTGGTGGTCCCACCCTGTGCTCTGCCCGGGAGTAGGGGTGCTCCTGGTTCTGTGCCAGAGGTTTGTTGACTGGACGTGTACACGGACACCTGCCCTGGGACTCAGAATGTTGCCGGCTCTTCCTGGCCTGGGACGGCAGCGTTTGGGGTGTGTTCCTCCGGGCGGGTGACCCCTGCTGTTTTTGCCACCTCGTTGGAACCCAGTAGAAACTCTAGGGCGTTGAAGACAGTGGGATAGTTCCACCCAGGGGCCCCTGCCTGTCCCATTGGGTAGGGTTCTCTCTTTTTCTATTCCGGGGGGCCTGGCCTTTCCCTTCTCAGAACGTAGCCATTTACAGATAGGCTCGGCCCTGTCCCAGGACAGCCTGGCTTTCCCGAGTCCCTGTTTGGTCTCGCTTTCATGCTGCCTCCTCCAACTGCCCCAGTCCTTCAGTCCTTGGGTTCTGGCCCACTCCTTGCCGTGGACCTTCCCGCCTGGGCTCACCTCGGCTCACTTACACACCCTCACATCGCTTCTCTGGTCCCTCTCCCCATCCCCAGCCCCCAAAACCCTGTGTCACCCCATCTATCGTTGGGGCCCTGTTTGCCTTCCTAAGGGCAGAGTCTTATACACAACCCACCCTCAAAGCCCAGCTCAGGGCAAGCGGCAGTAGATGGCTGTGGAAGGAAGGAAGGACTCAGGGAGGGATGGACAGATAGAGGCCGTCCCGCCGGCCAGGTTGCCAGGTGTATGTGGCAGGGGCTCTCCTTGGCAAGGGCATTTTGGAAGCTGAAGCTCAATTTCAGCCCAGCAGTGCCTCCAACCCTGGCCTAGGAGGTGGGCTCCTGGCCCAAGTGCAGCCTGGGAAAAGGGAGGGGAGGGGCCCAGCCCAGCCTCACCTGGCAGAGAGGATGATCACCCGGGCCTCCAGCTCCCGCGCCTCCATCAGCAGGGCCGTCACATTCTTGGTCCCCGGGTCGAACTGCAGCACCTTCTCAGCCTGTGGTGTGAACAGGAGCATTAGCAGGTGGCCAGGGCAGGGGACATAGCGCCTCAGGGGCGAGAGTTGGGCCGCAGCCTCTAGGAACCCCGAGGCAGCTTAGCTAGGGCTGCCTCGGCCTGCACCTGCCACCTGCGCTGTCCACCTGCCTTCCTGGCTCCTCGCCTGCCCTGGCCTGGCCTCGCTCGTCCTTTCTTCGGCTGCTCGCTCCTCTATGCCACGCTCTGCTCTCTGCACCTCTCTGCACCTGTCACTCCTGTGCTCTTTGCACTGAGCATGCAAGCTGAAGTGGGCCGAGACTCAGAGAGAGCGTGCAGCGGACAGGAGCCGGAAGAGTTTGGGAATGCGACCGGGAGCAGAGACGGGGCTGACTTTTCCGAAACCACGGGAGACCCTGTCAGGCCCGACTCCACAGGCCCCTGCGGGAGCGGCCCAGGCCCCAGCAGGCAGGCGGGCGGCTGGACAGCGGGCTCCCTCCTGGGTTCCACGAGGAAACCCTGGGGGTCCCAAAGATTCGCATGCACTTCCGGGAAGGCAGCTCCTGCCGCCGTGCCTGCCTCTCAGGCGCAGGCCGAGGCCGAGGCTGCGATGGGTGGGCCACGGGTACCCACGCAGCCCGCGCCTGGCCTGTGCTGCCTGCGACTGCCTGCCTCACGACCTCGCTCTCCTCACTGCTCGGGCCTGCGTCTCGGCTGGGCCGGAAAACGGCCCCAGTGGCCGAGGCGCCTGAGGCCAAGGCTCCCTAGTCGGTGGGTGGCGTGCACGTCCATGCATATATACCTTGGGTCCGCGCTTGTTGTCATAGGACAGTTGGTCGAGGTTTTCATAGTTCCTTTTTTTACTCTGATGAATAATGTGCACAGAGAAAATATGCAGACACAGAAGAAGATTATAAACGGTTGAAAATGACGGCGCTAAAGCAATCACACCACCTCCTCGGCACGTCTGCAGATGGGCACGTACCTGGAGCTCGCAAACACCTAGGCCCGGGGCGGGGCGGGGGCCGGGGTGGTGCTGGGGGAGGCGGGGGCACAGGGGCCACTGAGGCTCCTGGCCGTGGAGCTGTGCTCTTGGAAACGGTCGTGCTTGGAAGGAAGGGGAACCCTGTCTGCGTCCACACCGAACGTATCCCTTTGGGGTCTCGTCTGCCACCCCCGCCCCTGCCGTGCATCCGCTGTGCGGCCCCACCCCGTGTCAGTCCTGAGTGGGGAGTGAGCAGCCCCTCCCCATGCCCTGTCCCTCCGTTCCTCCTCCTGAGTCCTCCCTCCTGCCTTTCTAAGGTCTGTGTGTTGTGTTCTCACTGCCCTGCGTGCGCACAGCCCGTGGCCCATGTGTGCACGGGAGAGCGAATCAGCGTACGTGTGAGTGCACGGGGGGGACGGCATCTGCGTGGGAGCATTAGTCCACAGAAGCCGGCGAGGTGGGGAGTGCGGGCCAATGCTGTCTGAGCACTCCTTTGTGCGTGTGCGTGTGCGTGAGCGTGAGTGTGCGTGCACGCGTACATCCATGCGAGCTGCTGTGCAAAGTGTGCTCGCGGGCCTCGTGCCTGCATGTGCGTGCCCGGGTGGGGCCGTGGGAAGGCGCGTGTGGTCTGAGTCTGGCGGGAGGTGTGAAGTGTGAGGCGATTGTCTTGGGAGTGAGAGAAGGTGCTTGCGGTTGGGTGTGCAGGCGTGTGACTGATGAGCGTGTGTGAGTGTGCCTGCTGGGTGGGGGGGTGCTGTCTCGGGATGGGCGGGGCCCCGAGGCACCGGTAGCCAGCCCTCCCTCCCAGCCTCGGCCAATCCGCCACAGCGGGACCCACTGGCTTCACCCCCCAACCTGGGCCCTCTATTCCGTTCAAGGGTCTAAGGTGACTTGGGGCCCCGAGCTCTAAGCTTGTTGAAGCCAGCTCTGACTTTGCAGAGAGAACAGGCTCCCGCCCCCCAGCCTGGCCTCCCTCCCTCTCTGCCCAGCTTGGCCTCCACCCAGACCCTGGCCGTGGGGCAGGGGAGGGGGCCGAGCGCCCAGGCTCTTGGCTGGGTGAAGGCTCACCCTGGGCCTCTGGTGAGCACCAGCTCCTCCTCAGGTTGGCAGTGGGTGTGAGCAAGAAAGGGGGGTCACCTGGACCCCCAGAAACCACCGCTCTGGTCTCTCGGCAGCCCCACAGAGTGGGGGTGGGGCTGGGGCAGGGTGGTCAGTGTGTCCTAAAGCCAGGCCTCTAACTGGTCCCTAGGAGGAGCCCAGCCCTGCAGTGAGAAGGGAGAAGGGGGCGGGGCGGTGGGATCGGTGGGGGTGGGGAGGGGAGCGCCGGGCTGACGGAGGAGGGGTAGCTGATGTCTGGGATGGGGTTTCGGAGAGGGCCGTGGGCTGCTGTGAGGTGGAGGGCTACGGGGGAGGCAAGGCCAGCGCGAGGACATGGAATAGGTCACAGCAGGGGGGAAAAGGGTCCTTCGGGAGGGGGCATAGTGCAGGGTCGCCGGCCCTGAGAGGGGCGCTCTAGGGGAGGCCGCCGGGGACTGGCCGGGCTGGGAGCGGGGGTGGGCGGAGGCGGCGCC